CTGGGTATTGAGACAAATTTCACAATTCGATTCGATTTCGATTCACAAGCTTTCAATTCGATTCGATTCAATATCGATTATTTTGGATATCAGTTACAATAAATGGCAATATTTCTCAAGGGAATTAAATCTCTTAACTAATGCTGTAAACTATGGGAGACTAGTTGTAGCCTACTAGGCTTCATTAGCCTAATATGAAGGTAATAATGAATGAATCACTTAAATTACACTTTTATTTATTTTTATAATAAGAAGATTATATGAAATATAAACATTTAAATGGTGTCTGTCATAAAAACTTGCCAGATTTATTAAAATATGCATTAAATATTGAAGAACTTTAAGATTATAATGCATATGTAATATAGTGTATATATTTAGCAAAATGCTCCTCTCTGGAGTTATTTTTTTCTATCTGACTAACGAGTTGATGTGGGTCTTCTGAGGTAAATATGACGATACATGACAAGACATTGATTACAAGCTGTTTAACTGACGTCTTTCCACGGTTGAAACGCTGATTGAGCGAATCAATGTGACATGATACGGATTTCGATAAGTTGTACTCTATCTTTAACACACTTTCAGATGCTCATTCATGTTTATTTCGCGCTGTAACTGGTATTATTAAGCCGGAAGAGAGATCAGCGCTGCTGCTTCTCTGGAGCTGCGCCAGAGCGATCTCAGGCCACAGCGCCAAAACGTTATTTATGTTTTTGAATTTCTAAAGAAAATGGACGTAATTTGAAAATTAAGACTTTGTTTCATATCAATAGTAACAAAGGACAAAGATTATTGCGATTTGTTGGATGCGCGCAGCCGCGATACAATGTTCCATTCATTCAAATGAAACAGGATGACTAATCGATTCTTGAGACTTAAGAATCGATATCGGTTCGTAAAAATGAGAATCGATTAATATCGAGAAATCGATATTTATTACCCAGCCCTACTAAAATCTTTAGATGCCATAAGAAATTCACAGCTTTAATATGAAATCAACAATGAATGCTGAAGCAAAGAGTCTCAATTTTTAAACAGTTGATCACCTCTAGGACAGTTAAAAGGCAACAATCATGACAAATCAAATTAGGGGTGCGATATGTATATCTATGCTGCTGCTAACATCGTAATATTGTTTCAACGATGTGCGATGTGACATCATCAAGTAGCCTATGTACCTCAGTTTACAAACACACCTGATGTAGTCTAAGACTATATCTATAAAAAGTAACGCTTCTGTGTTGCACGTTACACGTTCTACAACCTAGAAGTTTGCATAGTTTCAATTTCATTTTTGTGAAATTGAGGCCAACAGAGAAGGAAATTAATAGTTGAATAAAGTTGTTATTTTTGTGCAAAAAAGGTATTCTCGTCGATTGATAAACTCAAGATTGAGCCACTATAGTCACTCAGAATATTTTAACGATGTCTTTCATAACTTTTGGGCCGCCAGTTTTAATTCCTTAAAGGAGTATCCCTTTAAAAAGCCAAAGGAGGAGGGATCCAGTTCTCAGATTTAATCAAAACAGGACAGTTCACCCAAACATTTATTCTGTCATTAATTTCTAACCCATGTCGTTTCGAACCATGATTTCGTCTGACCACGTTCATCTTCAGAACACAAATTAAGATTTTTTTGATGAAATCTGAGAACTTTATACAGGAAGTTCATAAAAATAATAAAATAAATACATATTTATAAAGAGGTTTTGCCCAAATTTTCTGAAGAGACTTGATTACTTTATAAGATTCACATATCAACAATCATCTTACACATCAGTTGTGGTAAATGCAAGCTTAACCATGATCGCTTGACGCGCGAGAACCAACCAGGTTCATTCTCGTGTTATGCAGCACGTTTGAGCTTCTACAAGAACCAATGAGGAATGTTCTCACGCGTCAAACAATTGAGTTTCTGTTTTTGTTCGCCGACCAATATAATAAATTACTAATGACTAAATTAAATCTGTTCATTACATAAAGAGATCAAGTTTTAATATCACTTAATTTTTTGAAGCAAAGCGGAAGTTGCATAGCTGTCAACAGAGGGACAGACAGCTCTCAGATTTACTAGCCATTGGCTTATTAAAGAAATGTTTTAGTCACCTAGTGTGAGATTTGGTCGCATATGTGAGTGATTGCCTTTCAGCTTTAAAATGCAACATTATAACTACCAAGTTGAGGTCGTGTGGATGCAACAAACACATTATTTGAATGTTTGAATGAATCAACGAAAGTTTGAATGAATCAACTGAAACTCAATGAATCACATTAACAGTGACAGCCACCTACTTGGGGTTATAAAATAATTTCAAAATGTCAATTTAATATTTTATGTCTAAAACAAAATATTTATGCCTTTGTAGGCTAAATACATTAATTTCCCTCTGAGCTGCACTACAGTCTGTGTAACAACTCCATCTAAATTCCACTTCAGATGCAGCTTCAGTCTTTCCTAAAGTATTTAATGAAGGTAAAAATGCCCATAAAGGTTAAATTTTATTTAAACTTATTGGAAAAGAGAATGCCATTGCTGCAAACTAACCACAGAATATGAAAAATATTTACACCTAAAAAAAACTTTAGGTAAAGGTACCAACACAAACAGCAAAATATTGTATTATCGAGATATAATTTTTGTTCATATCGCACACTCCTAGTACAAGTAGTGCATAAAACGAAACATATAATGCAAACCAGCTCAACAAAAAGGAAACGTCACATCATGATAAATAAGACAGGAGTAATGAAAGACGAGGTAAAATGAAAGTGAAAGGAGTCATCTTTTACTTTAGGTTATAGCAAACACTTCAATGAGGAAAAATTGTGCACAGCTTCACCAGCTAAATGCCAAATTCCCTTCAATCCAGACCAGACCAGACCTCAAAAGCCATCATCAATACAGCTGTCTGGTTTGTAGAGGGAAGAAAGTTTACAGGTATACTGTAGCTAAACCCAACGATGGGACCACGCAAAGTCTAGGGTATCATTCAATTGCCTCTTTATTCCATACTGCCAAGAGCCAGAGACAGACAGATGAATGGATAAAACCCCCTAAAGATTGTGAGTCATTTTTGGATGTTTAAGACCAAAATGGTTAAGGCATTCCAGGCTTGTGACACATTTTACTTGTGCTGTAAACAGAGGAACAGGCACTAACATACTAACACATAACAGGGTATTGGCCAAGTTGTATTAAAATTAAGAATTTGGTCTGAGATGGTGAAATTACTTTAGGTTTCAATTAAAACATCTTTATTCTTCCACCCCCAACCTTCAACATCCAATCACACCCCCATCACCAGGCCATCTGCCTCCCAAACACATAAGCCAATTGCTGCTTTCCTTTGATATTCCCAAATGAGCATCCAAGCAATCACTGCACTGAGCCGCAACCCCTGAGGGATGAGTTAAGTCAATATCTTTTCAATAAATTTAAGGGGGGCATTCTTAAAGAAATGAAGAAAACACTCTTATATGATACCTCACAACAGCTACCAGGAAGCTTCAAAACGTTCACTTGATCTGATGTTCCAGCAGCTTCATTCCTTTTTGTTAAAAACACCCATCAAGGCTGGTCTTGTTTCAACCAATGGTGTCCTTGCTGGCATTTCCTCTTAAGGATATGTAGAGTTCTTTTAAGTGGGAATTAAATGATCAAGTCTTCCTCCACTGATGCTCAAGTATCTATCTGCTTCTGTTGAAAAATTGTTGTGCTTTGGCCCCAAAAGCTTCTGAATAGCTTAGTTTAATGCCGTTTTCACAAAATCTCATGGATCTACGGTTTCAAGGCCCACAAAACATCATGCATAGAGAAAAGGAATGAGTCATTTGTGATGTGGATCCCAAAAGAATGAAGTATCCTTTAAGATAGCTGCTGATGGCAAGTTTAACCCTTAAAGCCTGACATATGAACTGAAGCAGTTAGAACATTTAGTCAGAAGAACATTTACAATACAAATCCTAATAGAGAAATGTAGAGATAAATGTTTAAAAAAAAAACATTTATTTAAAACATTTAAAATACACCTTAAAAAAACTCATATTTTATACATTTCAACAAGTTTTCTAAAAATGTAAAAATGTATAATGTATAAAGGTATAAAAATGGATAATCAAGCAAACCTAAGCTGGTTTAGTGCAGTAAATGCTCATCTTGAAATATTACTACCATAAGTTGTTTACTTGACTCAATATTTCAGAGCAAAAAGACAAGTACACGACCTTAAAGGGGAGACATTTTTTACAATTTTACTAAAAGGCCTTTTTACTTGCTATTATCAATCAGCATCTAGAAGATTGTTAAAAAAAGCATTGTTGATAATTTAGCAGCTTTCATGCATCAAATATAACAGAATGTAATTAAAGGGTTAAATCACAAGCATCTGCTTGATAAGTCAACATGGTGGGAAATAAGCATGCGTGTATCTTGCATGTGGTAAAGTTGAAGTTGTGGCTCCTCGTTTGCATGTCCTGATTTTAATGTTTTGTTTGATGTACTGTAATAATCATGTGAGCCATCACCTTTAGCTAACCTACCTCTGCACAACCAAGAATAGGACACTGGATAACTAGTGTCTTCCTCATGACTGGGAACTTGCATTTCAGCTTTAAAATGCAACATTATAACTACCAAGTTGAGGTCGTGTGGATGCAACAGACATATTATTTAACAAGTCAAACCATTTCCCAAAGTCCACCAATTTTACCAACAAAATTAGTCATTAATTGAAATAGTCTGGTCAAGTGGGCCCAGTGAGGTGGCCTCCAAACCCCCATTCTTCCCCAAATTCTGCCTCAGGCAATCATCTTTCCGCAAATTCTATACTAAACCTGCTCATATTAATGCTGACCTGTGTGAGAGAACAAAAAACAGGTTTTGTTTGCGTGATTTTTCGTTGCTCATAGCAGTGTTACCCTTAGCTAGTCTGTTCTTTTCTCTTCATACACTAACCTCAACGTTACAGCAGCAGCACATTGATTAACCGTTAACATACCTGTCTCCGCCGGTCCCGTCGCTCTCTTCAGGAATATCGTTTGTTCCGTCCAGAAGGTCTGAGTCCTGGTCCTTTGTATTGTGTTGGAGCGTGTGTGTGAGAGAGAGGCCGGCTGTGGATTACAAAAGCTCGTGCTATGCTAGTCCCAACTAGCCGAGCGGTTAGCGACTAACAAAACCTCCTCCACAAAAGAGAGAGAAGCCCTTTTATCCCTCTCTCTGTCGTTTTCGTCGCGTTTATCTCTGTCTGGTCGCGCGGCCGGTGTGAGGTGAGCAGTATCGGGCGGTTGGCGGTGTCTCGTGCGCTCGAGAGAGGGCCCCGCTCGCGCCGCGGCCTGTCGCACAATCAAAGATGGCAGAGCGCCAATCCACGAGAGCCTGACGTCACCGCGTACAGGCGCTGCGCAGCGTCAGCGACCACAGACGCAACTTTAACATGTAAGACACAGCAGATGGCGCCCTGTTTACAGTTCTAATAACCTTTTTAACTAAAAAATTATAATCAAACTATTTTCTCTTTCCTGTAATAATAAAAATATCAGATTTTTTGATCCAATCATAAAATCTCTCCTAGAGGGAATTATTTTTGGAATGCACAGATCGCTGGCATGGTTAAATCCATATACATTTAGTCTGGTGAATAAAGTTAAAGCGGTAAGTTACACTTTTAAAATATTCCTTGCAACACATGCTCTTTTTGTAGTGTAGCCTACACGAGGAAGACTTTTGTTTTACAACTGTGATTATATTTAACATTGGTCTGATGTTTGTCCTTTTCTTTTTGCCCCAAGAAGCATTATGAATTATCTCTAAAAGATGTTAGCCTATATGTTCTTTCACACACATAAGCGAAGTGCTTGAATATGTGGTCAGGTCAACGTCTACATTTTACCTCCATAAACAAAAAATTGTGTAAAAATAAATGTATACATGTAATTTATTCTTAATAGATGTCGTTGGAGAAGTCCTTAAAGTTGATTAATAACAAAAATGATGATTTTTTTCATCTTTATGGAGAAATTCTTTGTAATGTAATGTCAGCACTATGCTTCACCAAATTCAGTGAATCCTGAATGCATCCCTAAAGGGAAAAGGAAGAAATATTTCCTTTTTTAAAATCATACAGATTGTTAACTATGTGATATCTGGCCTTTGAAGCATTCTTTCTTATGTTGAAACCAGCTATATGACTCATATAGTTAAAATTAATAATAATAAAATACAGTTCTGTTTTTTCTAAATGTATATTTATTATTATTATATTTTTTGACGATGTTCTCCAAACAGGTGCTGCTTGGTCTCCTGGAAGAAAATAATGAAATTTGGCTTGGACCCTTACCATTTATTTAGTGTATGTGCATTTTTAAATATCATACATTTTATAAACTTAATAAATATATTGAATTAAATAAAAATATTTTTATTATTTTCATTGTAATTTTACATACTATATTAAAATGATTAATCTTGAATGTTTTTTTTTCCACATCCCAAAAAATACATTTGGCCACAATAAGCTTTCATAAGTAGCTGTTTCACCTATTATAAACTATCTCTGGTTATTTGCAGTATGTTGTTCAAGGAATAGCTCTCCATAAATAATTCTGTCAACAAGTCCATATGATTTTTATTTTTATTTTATTTTTTTTACTGTGGAACACAAAATATATGTGGCAGAATGATGGCACTGTGCTAACAAGGACAATTCACAAAGATTTATTTTTTCTTATCAATACTACAACAAATGATAAGGTAATTTGTTCATAATAGTACAGTAACATTTTGATAAAATTGATTATGCTCAATGGTTAAAATAGCTTGTGTAGTGCTGAAAAAGTATATTAATACCTTTCTTTTAATGATCAAAAAGTTTTCATTTATTACTTTTGTATTTGTTACAGTATATTTATATCTTTTTAATATGCAAATGCAATGATAGCTGGAAGTTACATCTATAATTTAAAGAATTTAAGAATCTCATACTTTTTCTCAGTTACAATTAACCCTTATTGCTTGTTATAATGTTAGATTTCATAGAAAGTATGTTAAGTTTATGATATCTACGATCACTGTGTGGTCACTGGCAATGGTACAAAAGCCCTGATCTTGTCGAGGAGCGATGAAGGGTCTGCTATGAGGAAGTGCAGACTGGCCCTGCTGTAATACAGAGCAGACAGCAGCGCTGCAACAGACACTGAGAATAAGAGTGAATAAGAGGAGCGCTGTGACTGCGGCTCCGGTGCACAGCGTGTTTTCAGGGGCGCTGTGACTCGATCCCACTGAGTCAGGATGGCCTGCCGTGCACCTTCCCATCGGCCTGGTCCATGCAAGCGAAACTGGTACGGGGTACAGGGCCCAAAGATGATGTTCAGAGCCAGTCTTGGGTCTGTCAGGAGCAGCTTCAGGATAGATGGACGGACACCCACTTGTTTAGCCAACTCATCCATGTAGGGGATGTAGTCCACCTGGATGGTGTGTCTCTGGGCGGCCACATACCTGCATGACAGTATGATTAAGAGTCATGGAGATACACTTAAATTACATTTATGTATAAAAACTGTATAAACTGTATAAATAGTCATGAGGTGAAGTGTGGAGAACCTTTGATTTATTTCGTTCTCTTTTGCTTTAATGTCCTTCATCATTGCAGTTGGTGAAGGCAGTTTGCACAATCCTAGTGAGCATATCAAAGTTTGTTATGTACAAAACTCTCTATACTTAATATTAGTATAGAGGGGGGGGGGGGGACTTTTAGTAATGTTGTAAGATTTATTATTATTATCATCATCATCATCATCATCATCATCTTTAAAGCAACTGTATGTAGTTTTGTTTACCGTAAAACTTCAATAATAGCCGAGTCCCAAATAGACGGCTGTCTCTTTTACATGCCTGGTGTGGCTGCAAGTTTGGGTAAATAAAGGCCGGTCTCAAATAGAGGCTGGGTCTGTTTTTTAGTTTCGGGTTGTAGGCTATTTAATCTAATAAAACCAATCAAGTCGTCATATTTGACTCAAACTTGGGTTAAAACAACTCAGCATTTTTCAGAGTGCAGGAAGAAAAGTGTAAGCTAGCGGAATGGCATTCACTGTCCAGCGGGATAATCTTTGCTTCGTGACCGGATGTCCTTTGGTACGGCCTCCAAAGCACGCGAAGAGCTGCTCTGAATGTCTGTACTGGGCAGAGCGCTCGATATATACTATTAAGACCCAGAAAGGACAGAGTAAGTGCAACTTTCTCTCATCTTCTGAAACGGGAAGAGCAGCCAGAGTAATGACCTATGGTCTGAACGGAGTAGAAAAGAGAGTTTCTGAGAAAATTCTGAGAAAAGAGAGTTTTTCCTCTTTGCATTTAGCGATGCAATACGATGGAAACGTATCGATAAGGAACTAGCGGTAAAACAATTTTTATGACATAGCCAAACATCAAATTATCTACATATGAATTGGCCTTTAGTCTCTACTATGATGTGCATACGAATAATACTCCTATGCTAAAGATATGTTGGTGTGATTGTGTGACGTACTGCAGTAAAGGAATCTACCATTTTCATGGAATTTAGAGGCGTTTTTTTGGTCAAGTCAGTGAACCATCAATGATTTTGAAACTGATATTTCATGGTTAAAAACTTACATACAGTTGTTTTAATAGATGAATAACGCACAGGATTGAGAAAGATCACCCTGTATTTGTAGGAGGTCATGTTTGATACCTTTAAAAACACGTGTGGCCCAGCGTGCTTGCATCTCCGAGATGGGCATAATGGCTCCGAGAGGCTGGATCAGACCAATCACGGCTAAAGTTGGGTGCTCTAGTGCTGGGGAATACACATATTTGTACAGGGATACCTTGTTCTTTGAGACAGGAATTACATGTGAAGACAGGAAGGGGAATGAGAAAGTGTATCCTGTGGCAAACACCACCAGATCAATGTCACCCTCAACTGTGCCATCCTCAAAAACCACACTTGATCCACGAAACTCTTGCACATTCGGCTTGACCGAGACGGTTCCGGAGAGGATCCGGTTTGGTAAATCATCATTGACCATGGGATGTTGGCTGAAAACTCTACCAGGTGAAAAAAATACACACACACAAAACAAAACTATAGAACACAATATAATATTAAAAAGAGTATGCTGTATTTAACACTGACCAACATCATCAGAGTTTTGCTCCCTCAAGTGTTCACAGTACCTGTGGACAGGCTGCAGCCCATAGAGCTTGTGGTTGAACCGTTTATTGAGTTGATTTTCTCCCCATTTGTTAGAATATCCAACAGGCAACAATCCAAGAAACCACATTAGTGCTCTGTTATTAAACATCATATCGAAAGGAACACCTTTGTCTCCTACACGATTCAATATCCAAGATCCCTTTCGAGTGCTCAGATAAACCTGAAATTAAAGAGACAGTTTACCTAAAACTCTACAATTCTGTGATTATGTACTCACCATCATTTTGCTCTAAATCATTTTCTCCTTAAATACTTTTTTTCTTCTGTGGAAAACTTTCCATACAATGGCAATGAATGTGGACTGCAGCTTACAGCTTTCAAAAAATGACAGAATTCATAATAAAAGTTGTTTATATGACTTATATAAGATTTTCTGTGAAAAAAAAATGTCAAACAAAGCTGTGACTTGAGAATACTTTCAATTTAGCAAACGAGTCAAACAAATTATATATATATAATGTTTATGATACTTTTTCTGGACTTGTGTTATGTGTCTGTTTTAAAACATTAAAGTCCCTTTTATATTTACATTTAATCATTTAGTAAGTGCTTTTATCCAAAGCTACTTACAACTATGAAGAAGAATCGAAGCAATCAAACCAACAATAGATCTATTAGATTGATCTGCTATTATATCTTACAGTGTTTGACATAATTGATCATAATATTTTTAACTTCACGCTTAGAAAATTATATAGGCATTCAAGGTAATGTCCTAAATTGGATTAAGTCTTATCTCCAAAACAGAAGTTTTGCAGTGCAAATGCGAGAATGAACGTCGAGCTAGGCATCTTTATCATGCGGTATTCCACAAGGATCTATTTTAGCACCAGTCCTTTTCTCACTCTATATGCTTCCTTTAGGTCAGATCATGAGTAAGTGAGGTTTCTTTTCACTGTCACGCAGAAGACACCCAGTTGTATCTACCCTGAAAACCAACTGTCCCTGCTGCTGTTGAAAGGCTGGTAGAGAGTCTTGGGGAGATTTAAAGGTAGATGTCTGCAATTTTTTTTTTATCCAAATGAATCAAAAGCAGAATTGATTTTATTTGGCCCTTCAGAGTCTGCAGAAACATCTAAAATTGAATTGGTTAGACTATCCCCTTATCTGATGCGTCAAGTAAAAAACTTGGGTATAATTTGTGATAGTGCACTGAAATTTGATAAACAGATAAATCAAGTAGTCAACATGAGATTCTTCCAGTTAAGATTAGTCGCTAAAATTAAGCCCTTTGTAACACGGAGGGACATGGAAAAGATAGGATAACACTTCAAATGTTCACAGAAGAAATTAGACTTCGCACTGGTTTTGAAGTGAGTGAGGCTTATATGCGAGTACGAAACCAGATGCAGGTGCGTGAGCAATCAGTGATAACAGATGCGTGAGTAATCAGTCCAGGAGTGATGTATGAGAAAGTCAATACTCAGGTGATGGGTCCCTCTGGCGGCCAGAGAGGGATGTTATGGAATCTGAGATCATGACAGAGCCCCTCCCTGCGAGTGATGCCTGGCGGTTGTGGTGGAACTCAGCAATGAGAGAAGGGTCCAGAATGTCCGTGGCGTTGACCCATGAATGTTCCTCTGGGCCGAATCCCTCCCAATTGACCAGGTATTGAAGCATACCCTGACACCTGGAGTCCAGTAGTTGGTGCACTCGGTAAGCCTCCTCGCCCTCCACCAGGATGGGTGGTGGATTTGTCCCCTGAGGTCTTCTCTTTCCTCCCTCCGCGGGGTCGGTGTTTGAGGGATTAGGTAGGGCAAGACGGTAGAATACTGGGGTGATTTGACGGAGGATTTTGAATTGACCCACATACCTTGGGCTGAGTTTCTTGCAGGAGAGCTGAAGACGGTCTCAAGCAGTGTTTGTAGTGCAGTGGGGAGCTTGATTAAGGGAATAAGGCGGCAAGGTTTATAGAATCTATCCACAACGATGAGGATGGTAGTATGGCCGTTGGAGGAGGGTAAGTCCATAATGAAGTTGATGGCTATGTGGGACCAGGTGTGTTGTAGTATGGGCAGAGGATTGAGTAGACCGGCGGGTGACAGACGGGGTGATTTTTGGGTGTTGCAAACCTGGCATCGTTGAATAAACCTGGTGGTGTCTTGGGTTAAGGTTTGCCACCAATAGTGGTTCTGGAGAAGCTGAATGGTGGCAGTGACTCCAGGATGGCCAGAACTGGAAAGAGCGTGAACGTGCTCCAGGACCTGGTTATGTAGTGTATCGGGGACAAATACTCTGTAGGGCGGACATGCTAACGGAATTTCTGTCTGAGCATTGGCCTGTTCCAGCTCGGTCTCCAGATTCCACTGGATGGGACCGATGATGGGGTCGGGGGCCAGGAACGGTTTCAGGAGCATGGGTTCTGTATCGTACAGTCACGACAGAGCATCGTTTTTAGTGTTCTTAGACCCAGGGTGGAAGGTGACCATGAACTGGAAATGGACAAAGAAGAGGGACCTGAGAGCTTGTCGGGGGTTAACCTCTTTTGCTTCCAAGTTTTTGTGATCGGTGAGTACAGTGAAGGGAACAGTGGTTCCCTCCAGCCAGTGTCGCCATTCCTTGAAGGTGGTTCTCATGGCCAGAAGTTCACAATCTCCCACGTCGTAGTTTCTCCTTTGAGCAGAACGCACAGGGGTGTAGTTTGGGAGGAGATCCCTGCCATTGGGTGATGTGGGTTACATGAGTGTGGTCTCCCATCTATGGTCTCGATTGTGAGATGAGAGGAACAATGGGTTAGAGCAATACTGTTCCGTAGAACAAAGTCTTGTGACATAAAGTTCCCGGTGTTAATCAAGGCATGGGTGACAATCTGACGGCCATTCACCATGTGTACAAGAGATACAGGTATGCAGGAGTCAGGATTCGGGG